CTTCGAGCAGCCTGTTTTAGGGAAGTTGTCCCTGCCCATGGTAGGGGGTTGGACCTAGATGATCTTTAAGGTCCCTTCCAACCCAAACCGTTCTGTGATTCTATGATATATCCAGTGAGATGGACTGGCAGTTGTAGGCTAGAATACCATCTTTCACAGTATGTTATATCCACCTGAAGAATCTCAGTTATCTTGTTTTGCTCTCTGAGAAACCTTGTTGTCCCTGAAGAAATGAAGCAATATGTTTTGAAGGACCTAAGGGGTAAAACTCCCAAGGCTTGGAGAAATCTTGTGTATTTGGTTGTCATACTTGGTACAGCTTAGCAAGTACTTTGCTTGGAAAGTGAAGATAGTACCACCTGGTGGTAAAGGTCTGAAATGAATTATTTTTAAGTGTCCTTTTAAAAGAAGGTACGTGAAATCATGTGTTGAATAAACTACAATATTTGTAAGCATTACATGAATCTGCTTCCTGCTGCTTGCACAGTAGCTTTGTGAGGCTCAGAGATGAATTATTGTATTGCATTTTGATTTTGAAAGACCATTTTGGCTGTGGGTTTTCTGTTTGATTTTGTTTGTTTGTTTGTTTAACTGGTTTTTAACTTCTACCTCTCCTTCCCTCGTTACTCTTCTATATGCCGACACCCTTTCTTCTTATATCATATAGTGTCACTATACTAATTGTCTGGTCTGCTGCTTCTCCGGACTGAAGTGATACTGTTTGTAATCATGGCTGAGATTTCCTGCTATTTGACTTGAACCACCCAACCCCTTTTTTTTTTTTTTAGTGTTGGAATAGAAGTTTACTCTTCTTAGCACTTTACTGACAGAAGCAAATGCTGTTCACTGAGGTGTAGAATCAAAGCAGGCAAGAATGTAGAAATGCTTCTTCCTAAACATCGTGGTTTTGGCGTTTTTTTATATTGATGCCTAAATCACCATTCTGTGCACATGTTCCCATAGATAAAAAGAAATGGGTGGAAATAAATAGGGTCTGTGTTTATGTATTTATGTCTGTCCAAGGTTGAAACCTTCTCAGGGGGGTGGCAGGAGGAAGCGTCATAATCATCAGGTGGTAGCCGGTAGGAAGCTGTAGTTCCACAAACAGGGACTCTTGCACATGGCAGTGATTTGGTGTGTTTGACCTCTAAACTGCAGTCTTTTGCTGAAATTGTGTTTCATGACACATTTTGTTCCCTAGGCCAGAAACTAGTGGAGTGGCACCAGCTAGATGTGACTTCTTTCTTGGACCAAGTGACTGGGTTCCTGAGTGAACATGGCCAACTGGATGGCCATTCTACTAGCCCTCCCCAAAAATGCTCTCGTTCGGTAAGTACGAGGCCCTCTAGGAGGACTGGAGAAATGGGAAAGAAAATTCTAGCCTCTCTAGCATTGTTGTGCCTGTTGTGCAGTTTGTGCTTTTGGCATTTGTTTTGGATTTAGCAGTCACAGATTTGTGTGTGTGTGTGCAAGGAAAATGTATCCCTCCCTGTGAAACTCCAAGGAGAAGTCATTCAGCAGTCATAGCATGACAAGCTTTCCATGGTGTTTGTTCCTGACAGTTTTAGTAGCTTCTCTTTGGAAGACGTGTCTTCCTGATTTTCAGTGCATATTTAAAAGCCATGTTTATGTATTTGTGTTATGTCTGTATTCAACAGGAGAGTCTCATTGATGCCAGCGAGGACAGCCAGTTGGAAGCTGCTATCAGAGCCTCGCTACAGGAGACGCATTTTGATTCCTCACAGGCCAAGCAGGAGAATCGGTCAGATGAGGAGTCAGAGTCGGAGCTTTTTTCTGGAAGCGAAGAATTTATTTCGGTTTGCGGGTCTGAGGAGGAGGAGGAATCAGAGATTCCTGCCAAGATGAGGAAGTCTCCGCACAAAGACTTGGGGTATAAAAAAGAGGAGAGTCGGAGGCCTCAGCCTGAGACCCCTGCAAGGACTGAACCTGGGACAACATCGAATCACAGAGTACTGCCTTGCATAGATGCAGGGGTGCTGGAGGAGTCAGCTGGCAAGCCTGAAAGTACATTTCAGAGCCTAGATATGAATGGTAAGTTGCCACTTCTTTTTTTTGCGACCTGTGTTTTGTTTTCTTCCTGAAAATTGATAAACTACCAAGCGTGGTTTCATCCCTTGTTTTGAGAAGCTGAATCATCTGTCTTACTGCCTCCTTGACACCAGGCGTTCGAGCGATTCACCTTGCCAGCAGCACCGCTTTGGTGTGGTGATGCCACAGACTGCAGAGCTGTGTTAGTCACTGAGCTCGAGTTTGAGTTCAAGACCCTGTTCACGGGTAAAGTACCCGTTGGTGCAATGCAGGTGCATGTGGCAGCGCTTTTACCAGTACGGTCGAGGGAGGCGAGTTACATTGGTTCTGTTTCATGCTCGGTTACCTTGGCTGCCTCAATAGTCTGGACTGAGTTTTAGTAACGCAACGCTGGCTAATACGAGCGAGTCCCCGGAGTCTCTGTTCCTCCCTGCGGTGCCTGAGCTGGGATGCAGTGGAGTGAGGTGGGCTCAGAGGCAGGGGTAGCACAGTGTGCTTTTCTCCGGGAAACCGCTGACTGGTTTCAGTCACTACTGTTGGAAGAGTCCTGAGTTTGTGAATATTTTAAACACACGTGGGAGAAGTATATCCTGGACTGGAACCTTGTGTTTGTCTCCAGTCTCTAACGCTGCTACCCTGCACCATAAAGCATGCCACCTAAAATCAAAAAAAGAGCTCAGTTCAGCTGCCTTGTTGTTTGTTAACTTGTAGTAACTTCCTTTATGCTAGGACCAAAGGCACAGCTGATGCTAAGATATCCCGATGGAAAGAGAGAGCAAGTTTCACTGCCCAAGCAAGCTAAACTTCTGGTGAGTGGAGTTAATTGGAATCTTTGTTGGAGTACAGGAGAGCTGAAACTGGAGAATTTCTTTTCCTGTGGCAGCACTGCTGAAATCAGACCTAGTGAAAGTGGTATATCCAGGGAGTGCTTGCACTGTCATTCTGTTGTTTCTTCCGTGTCATTCCTCTCTTTGATCAACAGACTGCTGGCTCTGTGTTTCCATTGCTGCTTGTGTTGCATGTACACTCCATTGTCTTCCTTAGTCCCAAAACTGCTGGTTTCCCTTCTAAAATGACTCCATGTGGCTTTTGCATTAATCACTAAATTACAGTGAAATACTCTCAGCTCATTTGTTTGTGTTTGGGGTTTTTTTTCTAAATGGAAAAGTTCAGTCATTGCCCAGTGGTAAAATCTAAGGCAAAATTCTTCGCGCTTGTTCTCTCTCTCTTTTGTCATACTTCCACATTGCATGTGGATGACAGAGCAGTTTTTACAGGAGAACAAGTTTGTTACAATATTACTTAATTACTGTGCTTTGGGTGTGCATCTCAGCTGTGCTTTGGGCTCGTTTCCTTGGAGAAGTCAGTGTGGATGGGATTTCCATCAGAATTTTGCAGGTGCTTATCCCGAAGCAGTGTGTAAAGAGGTGGCTGTATTCCTCTTAGCCACGCGTTTTCATGACACAGCGGCCCGTTAAGCTCATTTTCATGTAATCAACCTAAAAGCTCTGTATTGTGAAGTTGTAGGGCAAGCAAAAGCAGAAAAGCAGAATCCTCTTCAGAAGGATCTTATGGAGATTTAGAAAGAAAGTGTCACACCCCTTACAGAAGAGGAGACCGTAACCTAGTCCGTAGCACTCTAGGAATGTGCACTGTCTCAGGCTCATACTCTCATCCTTCACTCTCTTGCTTGAAGATAAAAGGGGAAAAAATAAAGTTGCTTTTGTGACACTGTCATCTCTCTCAAAACCAAGCGTAAGCAGGCAGGATGTAGACTGCCTGCAGTGCTCACCTGGAGTCCTGGGGCTGACATACAAAGCCCGGGGAACCCTGCAGAGCATCACTCTTTACTGCAGGAACCAGCTTTGCGTTCAGACCTTCATTCTTGCTTTGTCATGGCAGCCAGTGTATAATCCAAGTACTCTTGTACCTTAACTGCTCTTTGGGAGCAGTCTCTTACACGAAGCTGTGTTTATTATTCAGTATGTAGCACTTTTGAACACTTAATTAGGTGTAATACTGATATACTCCTGATAACCCTGACTTCTGGTTTGACTCCTTTTATGGACTTCGGTAGTTAAAGGAAGTTAATCTCAGAATGTGATTTCCTTTACTGCCGCCTGCTCTACAGTCAGCAGAGGAGTTGGGGTGAGTCAGGATTCGTGGGTAAAGATATCTTTGTCGCAGAGTTGAACAGACAGCTTTTGTGCTCACGTGGTGGCCTTTGAAAGCCGTTTGAGTCAGATCAGGATTGACTCTCAGGTGTTTCTTTGTGAGCATCTTCCATGCTGGTTTTTTTTTTTTTTCAGCCCTTAGTTGCTTCCATTTTAAAGCTCTCCAGAACTGTAAAAAGAAATTGTTGAAGGAGGCAGTTGCACTTTAGCAGTTTGAACTGATGATATGATGTCGCTCTCCCACCAACACTGGCTGTTTTAGAAAACTTAATTTTTTAATCTGTGCATTGTTAGCAGTCAGGAGTGGCTTCTTTACACGCTGTTATCTCCAGCGTGTTCTTACACTTACAATGTTACCATGATTCTTCTTTTTTTTCTCCCCAAATCAAATTAAAAAGGCAACACTGCCTTTTTATAGAAGCAGTTGTTCACTGTGTGCAGTGAAGTAGCCGACCTCACTCTGTTCCGCAGCTGAGCCCTTTATCTATCTGCATCACTGACTGGTTGCCCGAATAACTTTGTCTAGCAAGCGTAAGGTGTGCAGGAAAGGCTGCCCTTTGAATGGGACAGGGCAGAAGTGTGGGCAGTAAACTTCACTGAACTTTTCAATACAGTGGTTTGTAAAGGAATTTTGATCATCCTTGTTCCTCGGGAAGGAAATCAAACCCGCTTACTTGCATTCCTCATCAGACACAGGCATGGTAGTCTGCAAAGCCTGTTGGAGAACAGTCCAGGTAAGAGAGGTGCTTGGGGCGACCGTCGCCTCATACCGAAGGTTTGTGTGTGGATTTTGATGAATTTGGAAGGAAGCTCTGTGCAGGTACTTCCTTGGCTGTTTTGCAGTCATCAGATCTTGGAAAAGTCCAGGTTGAAAAGGATCTATGGAGATGATCTGGTCTAACCCTCCCTGGATCTGTTGGCAATACTCTAGATGCAGCCTGGGGGTGCTGTCGTGGCTGCAGTGGCACGCTGCAGGCTTGTAGTGAGCTTTCGTGATGAGTTTTGACCATCTCTCTGTGACGTCCTGGATCTTGGCTTGAGGCAAGCAGCAGGCTTCCAAGATTCAGAGTTCGGTTGGCAGTTTGGTGCCTCAAACCCAGCAGAAGGATTCCCTTCCACCAGCATGCACTGCTTCTCGCTGCTGGTTTTGACCTACTGAGTAGGACCAGTGGGTCCAGTTACATCTCCCAGTGGAACTTATTTGTCCTCCCATTTATTGCAAGACTTCATATTGTTTTTTCAACTGACTCAACTTAATTTACAGTAAGCTGCCCACCAAAACGATGTGAACAATGTTGTTGGGACCCTTTATTTTTTCATACTTTCTATTTTATTACACACTAAATGTCTCTTTCCCCCTCTTTAAAAACCTCTGACTTTTCATTCTGCCGAGTCTTGCTCGATTGCTGTATCCCCTCCTGTTCTGCAGTCTCCATTTCTCTGTCCCTGTTTATTTATACTTGATGCTGTGTTTCCTGATGAACTCAGGAAATCTCTCGTGCTGTAGCATGGACCATTAGCTCATCTTGATACGTCTGCTTGTTGGGTGGTGAGGCTGATGCCCTCATCCCAACGCCCTCCGTATCCTGCCCCAATTGCTGTTGTAGGCAGAGAAGTGAATGACTTGCGAAGAGCTTTTAAAAAAAAGAAAAAAAACCTCACTAAGTCCTCATGCTTCTTGAGGGCAGAAAAAAAATTCAGTTTTTAATAAGAATACTGCATTTATTTTTGTCACTGTTACCTGACAAAAATGCTGCTTTGATGGCTTTTAGGTTTGATGGAAGGGTGATATCTGATAAGCAAGTGAGGGGGCTTTTGCAAATCTTACTTTACTGTGACTGGGATATGTGACGTGGAATTCAGCTTGCTTGAATTAGAATGCTAGTGTGCGTGTCCTCGGTTTGAAGAATGGGTTAGGTAAGGGATCATTTGGTAATCAGTTTTTAGGATTAGTCATAGCACGTGTGGGCCAAATTCGTTATTCAAGTACCAAAGGGTCTGTACTATATGTAGAATTTCAAATTCCCTTTGTGACTACAAACTTCCTTTTTAAAGGAGAACGGGGTGAGGGTTTTTTAAACATTCTTCTGTGTTATTTTGAATGAAATGACGCTTCTTCACCTTTCTTTCTCTCCAGGCTCTTGTGAAACACGTCGAGGCAAAAGGATACCCCAATGAACGCTTTGAACTTCTCACCAACTTCCCTCGAAGGAAACTCTCCCACATGGACTATGAGATCACGTTACAGGAGGCAGGCCTGTGTCCTCAAGAAACTGTCTTTGTGCAGGAGAGGAATTAGCACTGTGGCCTGAGTTCTCCCATCCTTCCTCCCCTCTCCTCTTTGCCTGGGACACCAACATTAAATATGCAGTTGGGGGTCATAAGACTGCAGTGCTGAAATCAAGCAGGCAGCTGGTTGGCCCTTCTTTCTTCCCTTCTCCTGCTCTAGTGACCAAATGAGAGTGTTCAGAGTTTTATTTCCTTCCTCAGTTTGAGCCCTGCGGAGAGCACTGCGAAGAACATCTTTCCTTTGTTTTCATGGAATAAAGTAAACCGGTGTTCTCTGTATCCAGTACCGTGGGGCTTGGAGTGGCCATAATATGTACACGTACTCGCTGCTATTCTTAAATCTGTTTTGTTTAATTTATTTTTGAAAACAGTGTGTGGTGAGACGCTGAGCCATCTCTGTCGGGGGAGAGTGTCATCTTCAGTACGGTCTTTCTTTTGTTCTGACTCTCCATGAAAGGTCTCCATTAACCTTCCAGCCTTCCCAAGGTTCACCTGCCTAGCGCTCTGCAACAGCTGGGGGTTTGGGAAGGGATTGGGTTGAGCTGTGGTGAGATACTCTGCCCCCATCTAATTTAAAGGCTCCTAGATGGCACGCATGTTTTCCTCCTGCTTTAAATGCTGCCAGCAGACAGTAAAAAAACCCACCCAACCAAAAAAACCCCAAACTGCTATACTGTGGGATTGACTGCTTGGCCCAGAGGGAAAGCTGCGTGTCTGTGTTCTGTTGGAACAGAATTGACTCCTGGGTAGAAGCAGATGGCTTTCCATTCGTTCTCTTCCCTCTGTCCCCTAAGTGTCTCCTTTTTACGTGCTCTGGGGATTTTGAAAATGACGATAGAAGGTGGCAGGATGCTGTAAAGATCTTGGACTCTGGAAAATGCCCATTGTAAAAACTTGTCGGCTAGTTGGCTGTTTTCCTTTGCGTGGTGTTCTGTTGTCCCCCGCAGTGACTAGCTTTGCAGGGGTTGCAGAGCACT